ATTAATTGGTTTACGCGAAAGTTATAGTGTTTACAAATTGCGGTATAGATACTGGAATTTGTTAAAAAAATGTATTTTTACTAGTAATGGCGGCGATCAGCGACTTTATAGCAAGACTGCAGAACTGCGGCGGGCATTCTGACACTGGGGGGAACTGACTTGGGGTCACTGACATCCCCAGTGACACCAATACAGTGATCAGTGCTAATAAAAATCCCTGACACTGTACTAATGGCACTGGGCAGGAAGGGGTTAACATGTGGGGCGATCAAAAGGTTAACTGTGTGTTGTTTTACTAAGTGTCCTGTGTTAGTGCATCACTGTAAGCACACTGCTTTGTATGGCTCTGGTATGCAGAGCCATACAAAGCAGTGTGCAGGAGCTGACAGGGGAGATAACTGTTTTGTTTACAAACATTTCTCCCCCCATCGGAGATGCTCGGCAATCACCAGGTACCGGCGGCGAGTAATCACCGACTGGGACCCAGTAATTGACAGCCGAGGACGCAAATGGTGGCAAGGCACACGCGTTCCGCCTACCTGAAACTACAAAGTCAGGTATATATACGTTATTTTGCGCACCCGTGCCGCCCTGTAGCAGTACTTCTGCTAAAGGGTGGACGCGAAGCGGTTAATAATATTAATGCTATTGGCAGTTTATATATCATCTATCTATCTATCTATCTATCTATCATCTATCTATCATCTATCTATCTATCTATTATCTATCTATTATCTATCTATCTATCTATCATCTATCTATCTATTATCTATCTATCTATCTATCTATCTATCTCTCTATCTCTCTATCTATCTATCTATCTATCTATCTATCTATCTATCTATCTATTATCTATCTATTATCTATCTATCTATCTATTATCTCTCTATCTATCTATCTATCTATCTATTATCTATCTATCTATCTATCTATCTATCTATCTATTTATCTATCTATTATCTATCTATCTATCTATCTATCTATCTATCTATCTATATATCTATCTATATATTATCTATCTATCTATCTATTATCTATCTATCTATCTATCTATCTATCTATCATCTATCTATCTATCTATCTATCTATCTATCTATCATCTATCTATCTATCTATCTATCTATCTATCTATCTATCTATCATCTATCTATCTATCTATCTATCTATCTATCTATCTATTATCTATCTATCTATCTATCTATCTATCTATCTATCTATCTATTATCTATCTATCTATCTATCTATCTATCTATTATCTATCTATCTCTCTATCTCTCTATCTATCTATCTATCTATCTATCTATCTATCTATCTATCTATCATCTCTCTATCTATCTATCTATCTATCTATCATCTATCTATCTATCTATCTATCTATCTATCTATTATCTATCTATCTATCTATCTATCTATCTATCTATTATCTATCTATCTATCTATCTATCTATCTATCTATCTATCTATTATCTATCTATCTATCTATCTATCTATCTATCTATCTATCTATCTATTGTCTATCTATCTATCTATCATCTATCTATCTATCTTTCTATCTATCTATATATCAGATATGGTGTATTTAACCAGGGCTGGGACAAGGGGTGGGCAAGAGGAACAGCTGCCCCGGGCTCAGAAAAGCAAGGGAGCAAAGAATAGATGCAGGGTGGTACACCCATTCTAATGCATGTTTTAACAGTGGGGGAAGGGGGTGCACTTCTGAATCCTTGCCCTGGGCACTGGACGCCCCTGTCCCGGGACTGTATTTCACATATACTATGCATGTGCTATGTATGTATATCAGGGCTTTTTTTCAGCGGGAACGTGGGGGGAACGCCTCCAGAACTGAATATAAATATATGGCAAAGGGTGCTGGGGTGTGCTGTAAGGTCTATTGCTGCTGGTTGCTGGTGGATCTATTGTCACTGAAGGGGATTCTATTTTTGCGTGGCAATATATTTTTGCCAAAAGGGATGTACTGATGAGGGGTGAGTGTATTGATGCTGGCTGCTGGGAGATCTGTTGTTGCTGGGGTGGTATTTTGCTGTGGGGGCCTTTTGTTTCTGACGGAATCTATTGTTGCTGTAGGGGGGGTCTATAGCTGTTGGCTGCAAGGGATATATTTTACTGCTTTTCTGATTCATTACCAAATTCCATACAAATCGCTTAGCACCACAAAATATTTGTCTCTGTATTGGGAGGTGGGTAGGAGGTGGAAGCAAGGAATGGTGCTCGGTGGTGGGTAGGTGGGGTGTAGACAAGAAAGTCTCAGAAGGGGGAATTTCCTACACCAATTTTTTGAGAAAAATGTGTACTATTGCGAACTTGTATATTGTAGGTAGTGATGGGTCGAACACCCCCGTGTTCGGTTTGCGGTCTTCGAACGTTCTAATCTAGTGAAAGTTAAACCGCAAACTTCAAACTCAATGCAAGTCTATAGGACTCGAACTTTTAAATTTAAAAGTGCCAATTTTGAAGGCATATATGCAAGTTATTGGTAAGAAATTGGGTATGGGGAAACGCTGCATAGAAACCAATCAGCTTCCAGGTTTTATTGCCAAAGCTGAATTGAACAAGCTGAAGCTAGAATCTCATTGGCTCCCATGTACAGCTGCAGCAGATTCTGAGTGCTCCAGTTGTAGTAAATCTCCCCTTAATGTGGACTGCAGTGCTGCAATGATTGGTGAAAAGAGAATATACCTTATTGTAATATATCTTTTCCATAATATATGCTAAAAAAGGGAATTGTAAATCATGACGTACTCTATGAACTGTACAAGATGACAAGATGTCAGTTCCAGGTTTCGCGTGAAGGAAACAATGGTAGAACGCACCGCATTATGCTCATGATGAGATCCATAGTGAATACAACCAAAAAAGACCGGTCATCTCAACACATACTGCTCTCTCTGCTTTCTGCTCTCTCTATTTCTCTCAAAATGTCTGAAACAGGTAATTTTTTACAATTTTTCAATGCATTCTGGGCATTTGGGAAGGTCTCCTGAGGTTATCTTTTAAAAATGCTTGTAAACGCAAACGCATATGAACACGGTATGCAAACGCAGCTAAAATGATGTTTTTTTAACCTACGTTTAAAGCAGTCAGTTTCCATCATTCAGAAGAGTTTTCCAAACACCAAGTGTACATGAGCCCTAATGCACAATACATATGTGTGTGTATATATATATATATACTTTTTTTTTTTTTTTTAATGAAATATTGTTCAGTATGGTCCCAGTGTACAATATATATATATATAATAGTGTACAACGTAGCCCCAGTGTACAATACATATATATATATAGTGTACAACGTAGCCCCAGTGTACAATACATATATATATATAATAGTGTACAACGTAGCCCCAGTGTACAATACATATATATATATATAGTGTACAATGTAGCCCCAGTGTACAATACATATATATATAATAGTGTACAACGTAGCCCCAGTGTACAATACATATAAATATATATAATAGTGTACAACGTAGCCCCAGTGTACAATACATATATATATAATAGTGTACAACGTAGCCCCAGTGTACAATACATATATATATAATAGTGTACAACGTAGCCCCAGTGTACAATACATATATATATAATAGTGTACAACGTAGCCCCAGTGTACAATACATATATATATAATAGTGTACAACGTAGCCCCAGTGTACAATACACACACACTATGTATATATATATAATACATATGAACAACACAGCCCAGTGTACAGTATATATACCACCAATCCATAACCACAAAACCACATCTAGATGCCCATAGACAGCCCATAGCAATCGGGGAAAGTCTATAGCAACCTTGTAATTTCCATAGCAACAACAGAAAAACACAAATCTTCTCGCAGTATACACCAGGCTGAATGTACAATACATATACATAATGATCATATCCCCCACAGAGAGATATAAATATGAAAAATGAGATGTAAATGGACTTCTTTGTGGGGAATATGATTACTATTAGGACTTGTGGCGTACGCCTTAAAAATAAATGTGAGTAAACACACAGCCCATCCTATGTCCTCCTATCCAGGCTGCTCTGGTCACTAAATCCCAACCTTGGCCCTGAAAACTAATACAGACCAATATAGGGGGGGAAAAAAAAATAAAGAAAAAAAAACAAACAAAAAAAAACATTTTTTCTTACTCTTGTCATTAGATTGCATTAAAAAAAACACATCTTTATTTTGCATAAAAATATCACGGCAAGAAGCCCCTATTTACCTGGAGAGGAATGATCTCTATCAGCAATAGGCAGGTGGCAGTTAGGTGAAGCGAGCTGCTCTGCACAGTGGACCGTTTGAATTTGGCAGACCTGAGCAATCAAGCCAGAGCAACCGATCAGCCAATCAGCACTCTCCTAGGAAATTCATATCCTTGCAGGCCAATATAGGGGAGGAAAAAAAATCAAAAATAAAAACAAAAAACATTTTTTCTTACTCTTGTCATTAGATTTCATTAAAACAATCTTTAATGTGCATAAAAATATCCTTAATGTCTGGAAAGGAATGATCTCTGTATGAGATTGTGATTGGCAAATCAACAGGCAGATGTCAGTTCTGTGTGAGGCTTTCTCCTGTCCATCAGGGATCACAGGCAGTTGGCAGATCTGAGCAATCGAGCCAGAGTAACCGATCAGCCAATCTGTGCTCTCCTAGACAGTTCAAATCCTTGCTGCGGAAAAGTGTGCATAGAGGTACAACATATCCCCAGTGTACTATATATATATATATATATATATATATATATATATATATATATATATATATATATATATACACACACACACACACATTATGGCATAACATAACCCTACAACATAGTCCCAGTGTACAATACACACACACTATGTGTATATATATATATATATATTATACACCAGCCTGAATGCCTGAATGCACAATGTATACACCAAAAGAATACATTTGTACATCCATTTCCCATCAGAGAGGAACCTGCAGAGAATAGACACAATATGGAAATATTTTATATGGAGGGAGAAATTTAATCAAACTGCTGCACACAAAATCTGGCGCGGTTCTGCAGAGTAACCAATCAGCTTCCAGGTTTTATTGCCAAAGCTTAATTGAACAAGCTGAAGCTAGAAGCTGATTGGCTCCCATGCACAGCTGCACCAGATTCTGAGTGCTCAGTTTTAGTAAATCTCCCCATGCCATTTTCTTATTGGTGAACAGCAGCTTACAGACCACACCCCTAATTATAGCCCCACCATTCCTATTGGTGGCCAGTGGCTTATATTACATCCAATCACTGGCACCAGAAGTATGAGATAACCCATCAGTCCCGGGCTGGTGATCTCTTCTATCTGAGCTCCCCTGTTGAATCCCCCACCTGGTGCCATTTAATGGGCTGTGTCTGGCAATGGCACCATCAGCCAAATGCAACTCATTCTATGAATTTTTTCCTGCCAGATGGCCATATTAAATTGCCGATAAGTGGTTGGGGGGGGGGGTTAAACCACAGCTCAATTGCCTATTTTTACCAATCCCCCTGCACACGGTGTAAACAAGGCATATCTGTCTCAAGTCATGATATAAAATGACTTGTGCGCAGTGCTGCATGGCGGAGTAATTGTCAGTCAAGATGGGAATGAAGGAGTCTTACCGGCTCATACTCACCCAAATTATTTTTTTAGGATAAGAAAGCGTGTTGAGGGGTCAGAAGCCCTGTCAGATCTTTATTGTCGGACCCCTGTATGTGTCCTGGTGGCCATTACCCCAGATATAGAAAGTGAGGTGTCATCCAAAGTAGTAGAAGTGTTAGAATTACTCTGTTCCATAAGGGGGGAGGGGTGCAGGTGCCAGAGCTGAGATCACACCTTCCAGCAGCAACCAATCACAGCCTTCCTAAACATTTAAAAAAGGGAAGTGACAATTGGAAGTACATTTACCTTTCAAGTAGTTTGTTTTGCATTCACATTATAACAAAACAATCCAAAATCTGTATACTGTAAGCTGCTGCAGCACTTCTTTACATTAAATTCACAGCATCCTCTGCACGCCGGCTGAAAGATCAAATCAGGCTTCTGGCAAGGATGTCCGCACTGACTGTCAGAATGAGGGAAAGGAAGCACAGAAGGGATGGCTGACAGCGTCCCATCTGCTGCCTTTCCTATTTGAAGCTCTGACAGTGTCGTATTACATGTAGGATTGTTGGATTGGGCAGATTTAGTCGTCTTATTTGGAGCCAATACTTATTATCTTTTATTAAGAAAGAGTGGTGATGGGTTAGGAGCATGGACAGGGAATGTATGGAAAGGTAAGTGATCAGATTTAGTTTCTTTAATTTATAGCCATATAACAGATAGGGACCCTATATAGAAGGGGGGGGGAGTGATGATAGTGCACTGCCGGTTCACACCATAGAAACGCAGTCCAGATGTGTTCCGGATGCGTTTCTGCATGTGCATTTGCGTTCCAGTGCCTTTTGATGCGTTTTTGACGCTGTCTGGTTCATTTTTTCCCGCTCTTCTTCAATTTAAATAGGGACATTTGTGTTCCAGTGCGTTTAGGTGCATCCTGGGGAATTTTTGGTACATTTTGTATGTGTTTTTACTACTTTCCAGTACAGTTCAGTGCAGAAAAAATGCAGCATGCTCTACTTTTATTTCTGGAACTAGAACGCACTGAAACTGACCACACTGGTGTGAACTATGCCATTGTAAACCATGTAACCTACAATCAATGCATTTTTGATGCAGGAAAAAAAATGCGCTGGATTGCATGTGGTGTGAACTGGCCCTAAAGCTGGATTCACACTGGCGTGGGGCTTTATTGCCCGTTATAGTTGTGCCATAATGTGCATCATGTTCAGGCAGCCCATTCCTTTACATGGGCAGCCTAATGCTCCACGATTAACCATAACAGGTGTATTATTAGGGTGTGTTGGGTGCCATTGAAGTAGAATTCCAGCTTAAATCTAACTAGTCTTACAAATGTGTATAATTACCTATTTTCAGCCTGCTCCTGTTATCTGATCCCCTGTGTCAGCCAGCGGGCAGCTGCAGGAGAGAGGAGGGAGCGCTCGGCAATGGCTGGCAATGCCTGGGAGCAGTGATGCCTCCCATAGGCTTCCATCTTCCAGCTGCTGTCAGTGCTCCCTCCTCTCCCCTGCAGCCCCCACTGGATGACATAGGGGAGCCATATCATGACCAGAGCAGAGTGGACTGAAATGGTTTAGTATACACAATTTAGTCAGCATATGTAGGATGGCAGTGCAGTGCTACAACTTCCCATAAAGTCAGGGAACATTTTTAAGGCCAGTGAGGTTTATGATGGAATTCTACTTTAAGACTCATCAGCAGCTCACAAATAATAACATAACATGTTTTTGCACTTTGAAGTTGCCTCAGTGTGTGAATGAGCTCAAAGTAATAGCTTTATTAAGGTGAAGTATCTTTATTAAGGCTGAGGTACACTCTATTTGCATTTGGGCACTGTGGTGTCATTCATTCCAAATGGCACCTCAACACGTGTGCTACAGCACACTGCAACTCATAAAAAAATAATGCATGTGCCTATGGTGCATTATGCAGCCCATTAAAAAAATGCATGCATGTTCATGGACTAAAACAGTGTGAATCCAGCCAAAAAGCCCTGATGCCATGTTTTAATGTAACACGGGATAGGGATGGATGGGTGGAAAGGGGTTTCAGTCTCCCTGGTGGATTTTCCATTGAATTTACATTTCTACTTTAACCTCCCTAACGGTATTCCCGAGTGTAGCTCGGGGTAAAATTTCAGTACCAAAAGCGGTAACCCCGAGCTACACTCGGGCTTACCATGCGGCGCTGCATAGGGAGTCCCTGCAGCACTTACCTTGTCCTTGGCTCCCGCGATGTGTCCCCTGCAGCGACCCCGGCCATCTCCTCCGGCTGATGCCGGCATCCGCCTCCTGTGTTTCCGATCCCTGTGACGTCGGGACGTACAGGCGCTGGCGGCGGGAAATTTGAAAATTTTAAAAAAATGTCATTTTTTGCAAAAACGATTTTACTTAGTAAAACATTGCTGTTTCAACCCATTTCACATACATTTTGTCCCGAGTGCTCTGTCCTGTCCCCTGTCTGCATTTTGACTGTTCTTTCTGCCTGGAAACTGAGAAACGTCCATGGCGTCCAAAAAACGTCCCTTTAGGTCAAAAAGCGGTTTTAGACCGGCTAGAGAACAGCGATAGTAAATCAGAACCACTTGCAGAATTGAGTGATAATGATTCGTGGAAAAATTTGTCATCAACAATGAAAACAATTTTGCGACTTTGCTCAGCGATGTGCGAACTTGGCGCTATATTTTAAATTTTAGTGTGTTTTTGGTTTGATTATATTATTGAATTAAATGTATGATTTAGAATCTTGTTCAGACAGATTTCAGTGAGTTATTCCTAAAAAATTACAGCCTACAATAAAAAAACTACATATTTCCATGCAAATAATGGTACCGCTTTCAGCACCAAAAATATGAAATAATCATACCGCCAGGGAGGTTAAGAATGATCAGCAGCTCACAAATGCACATAACATGTTTTTGCACTTTGAAGTTGCCTCAGTGTGTGAATGAGTTTAAAGTAATAGCTTTATTAAGATGAAGTATCTTTATTAGGACTTATTTACATTCTATTTGCATTTGGGCACTGTGGTGTCATTCATTCCAATGGAGCTTCAGGACACCGCAACTCCTAAAAAATAATGCATGCACCACTTTGGTGTCTATGGTGCATTATGCAGACCATTAAAAAAATGCATGCATGATAATGGACTAAAACAGTGTGAATCCAGCCAGAAGCCCTGATGCCATGTTTTAATGTAACACGGGATAGGGATGGATGGGTGGAAAGGGGTTTCAGTCGCCCTGGTGGATTTTCCATTGAATTTACATTGCAGAGAATGGGTAAGCTTTCAGAAAAGAGGGTGAAGATGGGAACTTCAAGGGATATATTTCACCACTGGAGACCATGTGAGATGTAAAGAGCCATCGGGTGATTGGCATATTTACATCTAACCCAAAAACAAACATCAAGGGTGGGTGAGCCAACCTTTAGTTGATAATACTAATATCCTTTAGATTGTAAGCTCCACGAGCCGGGCCCTCACATTCCTTCTGTACTGAAACGTATTGTAATTGTACTGTCTTCCTTACATTGTAAAGCGCTGCGCAAACTGTTGGCCCCATATAAATCCTGTATAATAATAATAATACTAATATCCTATTCTTTCTCCTTTCAGGTCATCCTTACATCACATCCCGTCACCGATCAGATGCTGGCAATGAAAATGACCAGAAAACCTACCCAGATTCAAAACATTTTTATAGAGCGTCACGCCATGATAACGACGGACGGTTGCAGGTTCTTCCCGCAATTATTTGCTACTTTCCAGACAAAGGTAAGCAACTTTATCTTTCAGTTATTGGGAGGGTTCTGTAGCCTTGAAGAGCTTTTGATGGTCATCCAAGCAGGTTCTTCGATTCTTGCTGCTTGTAAAAGGTCCATAACCTCTTCATCATCACAGAACAAGCCCAGTAAATGTGACTATTACTAGCTAAATAATAACCAGAATAAATGAGACTCTTCACAGACATGCTGCTAAATTTTTCACTGGAAGCCTCCAAGTGAGAGAAGATAAAGGTGAAGGGTTGAATATGGACTCCCAAAGTGAATAATGAATTTATTCTAATGTTTTTCTATTTTATCTTCTTCTAGGATTTCCTGTTCTATGTCATGGAGTATGTGGATAGCGTGACCCTGAACAAATTCATAGAGAGCAGACAACCTCTGAGTATTGACACCATAAGGTAAGTACATGGCCATGAGGCTCATTGGGAGTGGGGTGGGGGTCAAATGTACAATTGTAGATAGATCACTTTTAAGCTATGGGGGCCTTCGTATTTAGGCGGTGATGGGAGGTGCTTGCTTTATCTAACCACCCCCAGGTACACTAGTTAGAAGCCTTGCTCCTATATTTGTATTGATTCTGCATTTTATTTAGAAAATGCAGAGGGAATGGGGAAGGAGGATAGCTGAGATGCCAAACATTGCCTATATCTCTTACAGGGGGAAGCAACGGTAACTATTGGGCCAGAATTCATACCCTGAATGGCGTCTGCCAAAA